TGAATACAGGGAATCAACATGGACGTAACAGAACTAGTTGTGTAATACTGAATACAGGGAATCAACATGGACGAAACAGAACCACTTGTGTTATACTGAATACAGGGAATCAACATGGACGTAACAGAACCAGTTGTGTAATACTGAATACAGGGAATCAACATGGACGAAACAGAACTAGTTGTGTAATACTGAATACAGGGAATCAACATGGACGTAACAGAACCAGTTGTGTAATACTGAATACAGGGAATCAACATGGACCTAACAGAACTAGTTGTGTAATACTGAATACAGGGAATCAACATGGACGTAACAGAACTAGTTGTGTAATACTGAATACAGGGAATCAACATGGACGTAACAGAACTAGTTTTGTAATACTGAATACAGGGAATCAACATGGACGTAACAGAACCAGTTGTGTAATACTGAATACAGGGAATCAACATGGACGCAACAGAACTAGTTGTGTAATACTGAATACAGGGAATCAACATGGACGTAACAGAACTAGTTGTGTAATACTGAATACAGGGAATCAACATGGACGTAACAGAACCAGTTGTGTAATACTGAATACAGGGAATCAACATGGACCTAACAGAACTAGTTGTGTAATACTGAATACAGGGAATCAACATGGACGTAACAGAACCAGTTGTGTAATACTGAATACAGGGAATCAACATGGACGTAACAGAACTAGTTGTGTAATACTGAATACAGGGAGTCAACATGGACCTAACAGAACTAGTCGTGTAATACTGAATACAGGGAATCAACATGGACGCAACAGAACTAGTTGTGTAATACTGAATACAGGGAGTCAACCTGGACCTAACAGAACTAGTTGTGTAATACTGAATACAGGGAATCAACATGGACGTAACAGAACTAGTTGTGTAATACTGAATACAGGGAGTCAACATGGACCTAACAGAACCAGTTGTGTAATACTGAATACAGGGAATCAACATGGACGTAACAGAACTAGTTGTGTAATACTGAATACAGGGAATCAACATGGACGTAACAGAACTAGTTGTGTAATACTGAATACAGGGAATCAACATGGACGTAACAGAACAAGTTGTGTAATACTGAATACAGGGAATCAACATGGACGTAACAGAACTAGTTGTGTAATACTGAATACAGGGAGTCAACATGGACCTAACAGAACCAGTTGTGTAATACTGAATACAGGAATCAACATGGACGTAACAGAACCAGTTGTGTAATACTGAATACAGGGAATCAACATGGACGTAACAGAACCAGTTGTGTAATACTGAATACAGGGAATCAACATGGACGTAACAGAACTAGTTGTGTAATACTGAATACAGGCAGTCAACATGGACCTAACAGAACCAGTTGTGTAATACTGAATACAGGGAATCAACATGGACGTAACAGAACTAGTTGTGTAATACTGAACACAGGGAATCAACATGGACGTAACAGAACTAGTTGTGTAATACTGAATACAGGGAATCAACATGGACGTAACAGAACTAGTTGTGTAATACTGAATACAGGGAATCAACATGGACGTAACAGAACTAGTTGTGTTATACTGAATACAGGGAATCAACATGGACGTAACAGAACTAGTTGTGTAATACTGAATACAGGGAGTCAACATGGACCTAACAGAACCAGTTGTGTAATACTGAATACAGGGAATCAACATGGACGTAACAGAACCAGTTGTGTAATACTGAATACAGGGAATCAACATGGACCTAACAGAACCAGTTGTGTAATACTGAATACAGGGAATCAACATGGACGTAACAGAACCAGTTTTGTTTAATACTGAATACAGGGAATCAACATGGACGTAACAGAACTAGTTGTATAATACTGAATACAGGGAATCAACATGGACGTAACAGAACTAGTTGTGTAATACTGAATACAGGGAATCAACATGGACGTAACAGAACTAGTTGTGTAATACTGAATACAGGGAGTCATCATGGACCTAACAGAACTAGTTGTGTAATACTGAATACAGGGAATCAACATGGACGCAACAGAACTAGTTGTGTAATACTGAATACAGGGAGTCAACATGGACGTAACAGAACTAGTTGTGTAATACTGAATACAGGGAATCAACATGGACGTAACAGAACCAGTTGTGTAATACTGAATACAGGGAATCAACATGGACGTAACAGAACTAGTTGTGTAATACTGAATACAGGGAGTCATCATGGACCTAACAGAACTAGTTGTGTAATACTGAATACAGGGAATCAACATGGACGTAACAGAGCCAGTTGTGTAATACTGAATACAGGGAGTCAACATGGACCTAACAGAACTAGTTGTGTAATACTGAATACAGGGAGTCATCATGGACCTAACAGAACTAGTTGTGTAATACTGAATACAGGGAATCAACATGGACGTAAGAGAACTAGTTGTGTAATAGTGAATACAGGGAATCAACATGGACGTAACAGAACCAGTTGTGTAATACTGAATACAGGGAATCAACATGGACGTAACAGAACTAGTGTAATACTGAATACAGGGAATCAACATGGACGTAACAGAACTAGTTGTGTAATACTGAATACAGGGAATCAACATGGACGTAACAGAACTAGTTTTGTAATACTGAATACCGAGAATCAACATGGACGTAACAGAGCCAGTTGTGTAATACTGAATACAGGGAATCAACATAGACGTAACAGAACCAGTTGTGTAATACTGAATACAGGGAATCAACATGGACGTAACAGAACTAGTGTAATACTGAATACAGGGAATCAACATGGACGTAACAGAACTAGTTGTGTAATACTGAATACAGGGAGTCATCATGGACCTAACAGAACTAGTTGTGTAATACTGAATACAGGGAATCAACATGGACGTAACAGAGCCAGTTGTGTAATAGTGAATACAGGGAATCAACATGGACGTAACAGAACCAGTTGTGTAATACTGAATACAGGGAATCAACATGGACGTAACAGAACTAGTGTAATACTGAATACAGGGAATCAACATGGACGTAACAGAACTAGTTGTGTAATACTGAATACAGGGAGTCAACATGGACCTAACAGAACCAGTTGTGTAATACTGAATACAGGGAATCAACATGGACGTAACAGAACCAGTTGTGTAATACTGAATACAGGGAATCAACATGGACCTAACAGAACCAGTTGTGTAATACTGAATACAGGGAATCAAGATGGACGTAACAGAACTAGTTGTGTAATACTGAATACAGGGAATCAACATGGACGTAACAGAACCAGTTGTGTAATACTGAATACAGGGAATCAACATGGACGTAACAGAACTAGTGTAATACTGAATACAGGGAATCAACATGGACGTAACAGAACTAGTTGTGTAATACTGAATACAGGGAGTCATCATGGACCTAACAGAACTAGTTGTGTAATACTGAATACAGGGAATCAACATGGACGTAACAGAGCCAGTTGTGTAATACTGAATACAGGGAATCAACATGGACGTAACAGAACCAGTTGTGTAATACTGAATACAGGGAATCAACATGGACGTAACAGAACTAGTTGTGTAATACTGAATACAGGGAGTCAACATGGACCTAACAGAACCAGTTGTGTAATACTGAATACAGGGAATCAACATGGACGTAACAGAACCAGTTGTGTAATACTGAATACAGGGAATCAACATGGACCTAACAGAACCAGTTGTGTAATACTGAATACAGGGAATCAAGATGGACGTAACAGAACTAGTTGTGTAATACTGAATACAGGGAATCAACATGGACGTAACAGAACTAGTGTAATACTGAATACAGGAAATCAACATGGACGTAACAGAACTAGTTGTGTAATACTGAATACAGGGAATCAACATGGACGTAACAGAACTAGTTGTGTAATACTGAATACAGGGAGTCATCATGGACCTAACAGAACTAGTTGTGTAATACTGAATAGAGGGAATCAACATGGACGAAACAGAACTAGTTGTGTAATACTGAATACAGGGAATCAACATGGACGTAACAGAACTAGTTGTGTAATACTGAATACAGGGAGTCATCATGGACCTAACAGAACTAGTTGTGTAATACTGAATACAGGGAATCAACATGGACGTAACAGAGCTAGTTGTGTAATACTGAATACAGGGAATCAACATGGACGTAACAGAGCTAGTTGTGTAATTCTGAATACAGGGAATCAACATGGACGTAACAGAACTAGTTGTGTAATACTGAATACAGGGAATCAACATGGACGTAACAGAGCTAGTTGTGTAATACTGAATACAGGGAATCAACATGGACGTAATAGAACTAGTGTAATACTGAATACAGGGAATCAACATGGACGTAACAGAACTAGTTGTGTAATACTGAATACAGGGAGTCATCATGGACCTAACAGAACTAGTTGTGTAATACTGAATAGAGGGAATCAACATGGACGAAACAGAACTAGTTGTGTAATACTGAATACAGGGAATCAACATGGACGTAACAGAACTAGTTGTGTAATACTGAATACAGGGAGTCATCATGGACCTAACAGAACTAGTTGTGTAATACTGAATACAGGGAATCAACATGGACGTAACAGAGCTAGTTGTGTAATACTGAATACAGGGAATCAACATGGACGTAATAGAACTAGTGTAATACTGAATACAGGAAATCAACATGGACGTAACAGAACAAGTTGTGTCATACTGAATACAGGGAATCAACATGGACGTAATAGAACTAGTGTAATACTGAATACAGGAAATCAACATGGACGTAACAGAACAAGTTGTGTAATACTGAATACAGGGAATCAAAATAGACGTAACAGAACTAGTTGTGTAATACTGAATACAGGAAATCAACATGGACGTAACAGAACTAGTTGTGTAATACTGAATACAGGGAATCAACATGGACGTAACATAACTAGTTATATATTTTGTAATTGTACAAAGATTCAACATGGACTTACGAGTTCGTTGTTCAGGCACTCTCGGTGGAGACATTGATTCTGCAATACAAACATTAGGGACATTTACATAACAGTTCACTCGGAAACATTTGCATACACCGAGTAGGTTTATATGGACGGAACAGGTGATAGAGAATCTTTATGACAATACTGCAAGTGTTATATTCCGCCATGACAAGATGAGCGACAGCTTAATCAGTGTCACTTCTATATAGGAAAAACTAAAATGTCAACTTACGAGTGCGAGTATGTACCACCCTGCGTGGAGATTCTGTAAAACAGAGTAGATGATCTGAGAGATGTGTGTATGGACATCTGTACACAATAATAAAACAGCGTAGATGATCTGAGACATATGTGTATGGACATATGTACACAGTAATAAAACAGCATAGGAGATCTGAGACATATGTGTATAGACATATGTACACAATAATAAAACAGCGTAGATGATCTGAGACATATGTGTATGGACATATGTACACAATAATAAAACAGTGTAGATGATCTGAGACGTATGTGTATAGACATATGTACAAAAAAATATAACAACGTAGATGATATGAGACATATGTGTATGGACATATGTACACAATAATAAAACAGCGTAGATGATCTGAGACATATGTGTATGGACATGTGTACACAATAATAAAACAGCGTAGATGATCTGAGACATATGTGTATGGACATATGTACACAATAATAAAACAGCGTAGATGATCTGAGACATATGTGTATGGACATATGTACACAATAATAAAACAGTGTAGATGATCTGAGACATGGACATATGTACACAATAATAAAACAGCGAAGAGGATCTGAGACGTGTGTATGGACAGATGTACACAATAATAAAACAGTGTAGATGATCTGAGACATGGACATATGTACATAATAATAAAACAACGTAGATGATCTGAGACATATGTGTATAGACATATGTACACAATAATTAAACAGCGTAGATGATCTGAGACATGTGTGTATGGACAGATGTACACAATAATAAAACAGTGTAGATGATCTGAGACGTATGTGTATAGACATATGTTCACAAAAATAAAACAACGTAGATGATATGAGACATATGTGTATGGACATATGTACACAATAATAAAACAGCGTAGATGATCTGAAATATATTTGTATGGACATATGTACACAATAATGAAACAACGTAGATGATCTGAAATATATGTGTATGGACATATGTACACAATAATAAAACAACGTAGATGATCTGAGATATATGTGTATGGACATATGTACACAATAATAAAACAGCGTAGAAGATCTGAGACATATGTGTATGGACATATGTACACAATAATAAAACAGCGTAGATGATCTGAGACATGGACATATGTACTCAATAATAAAACAACGGAGAGGATCTGAGACGTGTGTATGGACAGATGTACACACTAATAAAACAGTGTAGATGATCTGAAACATGGACATATGTACACAATAATAAAACAGCGTAGATGATCTGAGACATGTGTGTATGGACATATATACAGAATAATAAAACAGTGTAGATGATCTGAGACATGGACAGATATACACAATAATAAAACAGTGTAGATGATCTGAGACGTATGTGTATAGACATATGTACACAAAAATAAAACAACGTAGATGATATGAGACATATTTGTATGGACATATGTACACAATAATAAAACAGCGTAGATGATCTGAGACATATGTGTATGGACATGTGTACACAATAATAAAACAGCGTAGAAGATCTGAGACATATGTGTGTGGACATATGTACACAATAATAAAACAGCGTAGATGATCTGAGACATATGTGTATAGACATATGTACACAATAATAAAAATACAAAGTTTAAACAGTTTTAAAATCTCATTTCAATCTTAATCAGCCTAGGAGTGAGTGAGTGAGTGAGTATGGTTTTACGCCACTTTCAGCAATATTCCAGCAATATCACGGTGGGGGACACCAGAAATGGGCTTCACACATTGTACCCATGTGGGGAATCGAACCCGGGTCTTCGGTGTGACGGGTGGACGCTTAAACCACCAGGCTACCCCGCCACCCTTAATCAATCTAGGAAGGAGTTGTGTTGAATCAACATCTTGTTTAGGGGTTTTTCATTTGTAGGAATGACTTGTGTTGAATCAATAACTAAATTTGTGATTACGGCATGTCAGTCAAAGATGGAACAGGTTAATGCTGTATTCCACTACACAGAGATACGTATCACGTCACGCTCACCTGACGTACGATGTGCCATGCCAACAGGTCACGTGGGTCGGTGAGGAGGGACGGTCTCGGACTGAAAATACCAGGACATTGTGACAGTGTGGATGTGTGCTCCATTATACAGGTAGGTACACCTCTCAGATAGGTGCTCCATTATACAGGTAGGTACACCTGTCAGATAGGTGCTCCATTATACAGGTAGGTACACCTGTCAGATAGGTGCACCAGTATACAGGTAGGTACACCTGTCAGATAGGTGCTCCATTATACAGGTAGGTACATCTGTCAGATAGGTGCTCCAGTATACAGGTAGGTACACTTGTCAGATAGGTGCACCAGTATACAGGTAGGTACACCTGTCAGATAGGTGCTCCAGTATACAGGTAGGTACACCTGTCAGATAGGTGTTCCAGTATACAGGTAGGTACACCTGTCAGATAGGTGCTACATTATACAGGTAGGTACACCTGTCAGATAGGTGCACTAGTATACAGGTAGGTACACCTGTCAGATAGGTGCTCCAGTATACAGGTAGGTACACCTGTCAGATAGGTGTTCCAGTATACAGGTAGGTACACCTGTCAGATAGGTGCTACATTATACAGGTAGGTACACCTGTCAGATAGGTGCTACATTATACAGGTAGGTACACCTGTCAGATAGGTGCTCCATTATACAGGTAGGTACACCTGTCAGATAGGTGCTACATTATACAGGTAGGTACACCTGTCAGATAGGTGCTCCATTATACAGGTAGGTACACCTGTCAGATAGGTGCTCCATTATACAGGTAGGTACACCTGTCAGATAGGTGCTCCATTATACAGGTAGGTACACCTGTCAGATAGGTGTTCCAGTATACAGGTAGGTACACCTGTCAGATAGGTGCTCCATTATACAGGTAGGTACATCTGTCAGATAGGTGCTCCAGTATACAGGTAGGTACACCTGTCAGATAGGTGCTCCATTATACAGGTAGGTACATCTGTCAGATAGGTGCTCCATTATACAGGTAGGTACACCTGTCAGATAGGTGCTCCATTATACAGGTAGGTACATCTGTCAGATAGGTGCTCCATTATACAGGTAGGTACATCTGTCAGATAGGTGCTCCAGTATACAGGTAGGTACACCTGTCAGATAGGTGCTCCATTATACAGGTAGGTACATCTGTCAGATAGGTGCTCCAGTATACAGGTAGGTACATCTGTCAGATAGGTGCTCCATTATACAGGTAGGTACACCTGTCAGATAGGTGCTCCATTATACAGGTAGGTACACCTGTCAGATTGGTGCTCCATTATACAGGTAGGTACACCTGTCAGATAGGTGCTCCATTATACAGGTAGGTACACCTGTCAGATAGGTGCTACATTATACAGGTAGGTACACCTGTCAGATAGGTGCTCCATTATACAGGTAGGTACACCTGTCAGATAGGTTACCGTATACAAAAAATACCACACTAAACAAACATATTAATCTCAAGTAACATATAACATCTCATGACAGGTCATCGGCTGTCACCTTCTGTACCGTTTCCCTTTCAGCAAATAGTAGCCACGCGGCCAGTTCCTTCATAAGAATTGTCGGCTACAATACAACACTGGCTGCATCATGATTATTTGCTTATAAATAACTCGCGCCTGTCAAATGCGATTTCGTGTAATTCAAGGGAAGTAATTCTGAATACATTCGCGTTGTCGGCTGACGAGATGTCCGTGGATGTACTCGCAACATATACCGGAGAAGATGTTTTACAGATATACCAAGAGTTAACCTTGTTGTAATCCGGGATCCCGGGGAATATTGTGCGATGTATCCGCTAGGCCAACAGTTACCAATAGTAAACCATAATCTACATCTGATAAAGAAGAGAAACGCATATTCTACATCTGACGATAGGCGTCCACGTGACTTTATAATCCCTATTGTCAAGTGTACACTATCAATCAACCATAGAGTATTTGATCACCTGAAACCAAGCTCACTGTCACACACACACACGCACACACACATACGCACAGACAGAGATACAAGTTTTAAAACAGGGTTACAACTTGCAACTGGTGTAATACAAAATATATTGTAGTTTGTCTGTCTCACCTGTTAAGGCAGTGCAGTGGGTTGTGTTCCCGAAGGCAGGCCATGGAAAGCTGTACAGGAAGCGCCACTGACAGGGGAATCCCAGTATCGACACTGAGCCTATGTGCGTCGATTTACAATGCCTGTCTGCAAGGTGACAGCTGTACAATGTAATGGGTCAGGAGGTGTGGCGTTCCAGGCTGGTGTCGTGTGCACAGGTATGAAGTCTGAACCAACCGTCGACATACTTGAATACTAAATGTTTAAATGTGATGCACTTTTGTTGCTTCGTCCATCGACAGTACACCCAACCCCAGATATATACCATCGACAATACACACAATCCCAGACGTATATACCATGTGCTCCACACTGGCATCTGAATCGACACTGAGACATGCAAGAGGAACATGGTTTCCCCCAAGGTGTAGCAACTGAGCGGATCAGTAGCGGATTTCTATATGCACAGTATCAACATTTTCTTGTTGGTACAAATTCATGTAGTGAAATGTGAACACAACGTTAGTGTGAGACAGACAGGTGTTACGTTGAACGCAAATGGAAAAAAATATGGAGAACAGGTGAAAAGATCAGTCCAGCGTTTGTCTTCTGTAGCGATGAGGAAGATGGCCATTTAAGTGCCCATTACAGTAACTGATGGAACGCTGATGGTATCTCTCTACTTTCTATACCGTGGACTCTGTTTTACCCCTCCCGAGGTCAGAGTGACCTTGCGATTGATCCAACGACTGGGAGGCTATATTCAGTATTCTGTATTCAGTATGAGTCACTGTGATCAATGGTCATATAACACGCCTCAACATTAACTGTTCAATGATTTACAACAACCGGCAGTTCCAGGTTAACGTGACCAGCTCCACAAGCAGTTCCCTCGATCTGACTTCATTGTTATGATATGAAGGCAATATGAAAACCGCCTTTTGAATCCCAATACTCCTCTTCCCGAGCCTTATATTGTAACTGTTGATCTACAAAACTGAATTCACACCATTACTTTATTAAAACCAGACCATCTAATACAGAAAACAACTCACACGAATATAGTGCTTTATTGGCTGTAAGTAACAGAAGCATTCTTTTATGAACATTTTTAACATATTGGCTGTAAGTAACAGAAGCATTCCTTCATGATTATTTCTAACATATTGGCTGTAAGTAACAAAAGCATTCCTTCGTGATTATTTCTAGCATATTGGCTGTAAGTAACAGAAGCATTCCTTCATGAATATTTGTAATATATTGACTTTAAGTCACTAACGAATTGCTTTATGAATATTTCTGACATATTGGCTATAAGTAAGGGACGCATACCTTCATGATTATTTCTAACATATTCACTGTAAGAAAAACTTCATACAAAACTTTCGAAAACGTCCCTAACTTTCAAGTGTGACAAAACTTAAGACTTGTTACACTGAGTTAGATCAATGACTAGAAACATACATTTAAATGTTCAAAGGGAAATGTGCCTATCATAAATATCTTAAAAACTAGCCATTCTACATGTGATTCATTAGAATTACTGGACTGAATAGATGAGATGTCCCATCACTGTATACCCTTGACAAGAGACATCTGAACAAGCAATGCCTACTGAGATGTTCCGTGTTTGTTTCTGTGGACGTGAATTCAAGCGTTTTTTTTGACAATCTCCAAATCTCCCATAGTTTAATAGAGCACATTTACTAAACAGAAATAAATAACAAAGTTACGCATGTCTGACATCAAACAAAGCACACACAATACATTATTAACCCTTCTGGTCCAAACTGACCATAACAGGAAACAATATACAGATAAATATAGTAAATACACTTGTTTTTAGACACTACACCCGGCCTCTTAATTGTGCGATGCAACAAATATGACAAACCCAAACAAACAATGACCAAATCCTTCAAAGCAATTTGTATACTTGAAACTTTGCTATACTGTATATTGTATACCTGAAACTTTGCTATACTGTATATTGTACACTTGAAACTTTGCTATTCTGTATATTGTACACTTGAAACTTTGCTACACTGTATATTGTACACTTGAAACTTTGCTACACTGTATATTGTACACTTGAAACTTTGCTACACTGTATATTGTACACTTGAAACTTTGCTACACTGTATATTGTACACTTGAAACTTTGCTACACTGTATATTGTACACTTGAAACTTTGCTACACTGTATATTGTACACTTGAAACTTTGCTACACTGTGTATTGTACACTTGAAACTTACACTGTGTATTGTACACTTGAAACTTTGCTACACTGTATATTGTACACTTGAAACTTTGCTACACTGTATATTGTACACTTGAAACTTTGCTATACTGTATATTGTACACTTGAAACTTTGCTACACTGTATATTGTACACTTGAAACTTTGCTATACTGTATATTGTACACTTGAAACTTTGCTACACTGTATATTGTACACTTGAAACTTTGCTACACTGTATATTGTACACTTGAAACTTTGCTATACTGTATATTGCACACTTGAAACTTTGCTATTCTGTATATTGTACACTTGAAACTTTGCTACACTGTATATTGTACACTTGAAACTTTGCTATACTGTATATTGTACACTTGAAACTTTGCTACACTGTATATTGTACACTTGAAACTTTGCTATACTGTATGTTGTACACTTGAAACTTTGCTAGACTGTATATTGTACACTTGAAACTTTGCTAGACTGTATATTGTACACTTGAAACTTTGCTACACTGTATATTGTACACTTGAAACTTTGCTACACTGTATATTGTACACTTGAAACTTTGCTACACTGCATATTGTACACTTGAAATTTGAAACAATGCGTTTTTATCACTTTGTAGAACTTGGTCTCATGCCACATCACAGTAACATTGAGACACAGTTTGTCCACAGGACGCAACACTGCAGTATATACACTAACTAATCTGACAAGGCCCTTTCTGACAGTCACAGTCTTTATGACACGACCAAGACTCTAACAGTTTCTTCCCGTGTTGTCTGACATGAGAAAAATAACTCTAGACTTGAGAATTTCGTTCCTGTAATACGGGTAAATATGCATTCAACCATCGTTTCAGGAATATAACAGTATTGGAACAGTGTCACGTAATGCACGGTGGAAAAAGTTCTCTTTTGTCCACAGATAGCCGGCATCTACTTGCTTATCCAAGTCGAAGTAGTCTATCGGTGGTGCTAGCAATATACCATTATCACCTTGATTGTGTCATAAGAAATCTATACAGAGACGTATCCTTCAGTTCTTTTGATATTTTTATTGATGTTAATCCGTGCATATTTTCCTCCGCGATATCAACAATATTGAGTGAGATAACATACTTGACAATATTCAAATATCCGCCATAACAGGCCACATGAAGGATGTTATTGCTATCATCATCCGTTAAGGTTATATCAGCTCCACCTCCCTCAAGTGATTCAACCACCTCCACGTGACCTGCACCTGTAGCCATCAGTACTGGAGTCCTTCCGTACTGTCCTCTGCTGTTGATGTCCACCATTTTGTTTGACACAATATGCTTCACCATTTCCACATGTCCTCCAATACAGGCAACATGAAGGATGTTGTTGCCGTTGTCATCTGTTGACGTCACATCACCTCCCTTGCTTTTAAGTAGGCCCAGCACATCTTTATGACCCTTCTCTGCTGCCTTCATCACCGGTGTTCTCCCGTACCGTCCTCTGCTGTTGACGTCCACCCTGTGATTTGTGACGATTTCTTTCACCAAGTCCAGATGACCTTCCAGACAAGCTACATGAAGGATGTTCTCACCTCTGTCATCTACTTGTGATAGATCTGCTCCTTTATTATTTTTGTTAACAATGTTCAAGGAGAGGAAAAATTTCACGACTTCGGGGTGTCCCCCAATGCAGGCCGTGTGAAGGATGTTGTTACTGTCGTTGTCCGTAAGTGAAAGGTCTGCTCCTTGTTCCACGAGAAGCTGAACCACCTCAATGTATTGACAACCTGCAGCCATCATCGCCGGTGTCCTCCCATATTGTCCTCTGCTGTCGATGTCAACCATGTGTTGTGAGATGACAAGCTCCACCATTTCCACATGTCCTCCAATACAGGCAACATGAAGGATGTTGTTGCCGTTGTCATCTGTTGACGTCACATCACCTCCCTTGCTTTTAAGTAGGCCCAGCACATCTTTATGACCCTTCTCTGCTGCCTTCATCACCGGTGTTCTCCCGTACCGTCCTCTGCTGTTGACGTCCACCCTGTGATTTGTGACGATTTCCTTCACCAAGTCCAGATGACCTTCCAGACAAGCTACATGAAGGATGTTCTCACCTCTGTCATCTACTTGTGATAGATCTGCTCCTTTACTCACAAGTAAGTTAAACACAGTTCTGTGTTTCCTAAAGTCCACCATTCTAACTGGAGTTCGCTGATGCTGCCCTTTAGTGTTGATGTCCACTATGTTCAAGGAGAGGACAAACTTTAGCACTTCTGGATGTCCTCCAATGCAGGCCATGTGAAGGATGTTGTTACCGTCATCATCCACCATTGATAGATCTGCTCCGTTATTCTTAAGAACCTCAACAACTTGTTTATGTCGACAGCCTGCAGCCATCATCGCCGGTGTTCTCCCATACTGTCCTCTACTGTTGATTCCCACAATCCCTAATGAGAGGACGTGCTTCACCATTTCCGCATATCCTCCAATACAGGCGACGTGGAGGATGTTGTTGCCCTTGCCATCCAGTGATGACACATCACCTCCCCTCCCAATAAGCAGTTCAAACACTTCCCTACGTCCCTTCTCGGCTGCTTTCATCACTGGCGTCCTACCATAACATCCTTTACTGTGGATGTCGACGGTGTCGAGTGTCAGGAGATACTTCACAATGTCCTCATAACCCCCCAGACAGGCCACGTGAAGGACGTTCTCCCCCTCGTTGTCCACTAGTGACAGATCAGCTCCTTCCTCCACCAGCAAGGTCACTACGTCTCCATGTCCCTGGGAGGCTGCACACATCACGGGGGACCTGCCATCCTCCCCGGTACAGTTGACATCCTCGTTCTTGTCAGACAATATCTGCTCGACGACGTCAACATCACCCACAAGGCTCGCATGGCGAAGATCTGTCAAAGCAGATATGGTAAATTAGCTACATGTTACTTATGTACCCTGTGTGGATGTGTCACTAGCACCAATAGTTGCAGATACAATATAACACGTTAGAACACATGCTGACTTTATACTTGAAGTGATGAATGATCTCTTTACCTTCGCACAGAAGCATTCCTTCCTCTGGAGATGTTCCTGAAAACCACAGTTTTAGATACGTTCATACAGTATATGAATTAATCTGGATCTCTCATATATGAGAATATAACTGAAGAGTTTCAAGATCCGATATTGTCCGTCTCTGGACAGTCAGAACAAATGTGTTTGTGGAATTCAGCAACCAATGAGTTTCGCGGAATATTAACACATCATGGTAGACATCTCCTCACCACCCAAACACCAATCTTCCCTGCATTTATTAGGCTTTCTAATAATTTTCCACGTTATTTTCCGACAGCCCAGATAACAGTAGAAGACTGACTGAGTTTGGTTTAACGCCGCTTTTAGCAATATTCCAACAACATCACGGCAGGGGACACCAGAAATGGGCTTCACACATTGTACACATGTGAAGATTCGACCCGGGTCTTCGGCGTGACGAGCAAACGCTTTAACCACTAGGTTACCCCATCACCCCTAACACTAGAAGATGAGACATGTTTGCCGGTTTCATACTCACGAGTGTTCAGGATTCTGCAAGAAATAAAACAAATGTATTGAAGTCAGTTGACTTAGTTAAGTCTACCTAATTCGCTGAATTCATTTCTCTTTTGCCAACAAAACATTTCTTTATTTCTAGGAATAAGTGTAAAGGTGCTTTGAAATAACGTTATGTAAAATTTGTAGAAAGTGGAATGCTGCTTTGGGATGACAATCATAAAACGAACTGAAAATGTGGAATCACCTTTTTGGCTGTCTTTTCCTCCTCCTGTAACTAATAATGAAACAAATGTTACAACCAATATGAGCCGTATGCTGTTTTTACACATTCACTTGCATTGTGCTAAATGTTCCAGTATTGAACTAAGCTACAAGTTGCCTTTGTGCAAGGCCATTTTACCAGAAACGTCAAACGTCTACATCACAGTTACGTTTACTCACAGGATGACGACAATGATGATGGCTGCTACCACGACTACAGCAACGCACACGGGGACGACAATCACGGCCGGCCCTGCTGCTGGCGACTCCGTCGTCGTGGACGTTCCTGCCGGGGGAGCTTCTGTCACTGTATAACACACAAGCTAATCCATCATTCTGTAGATCCACTGTATATTTATTAAATGTACACATAAATCGTCATATATCACGTGAGTGTTTCAAGTTTGTAAACTTGTAATAAAACTAGCTCTGTACCACTGAAGGATTACCGACACTCTCAGCCCCTGTGCATGTACCCCCTCTCTCTGAATCAACTCAGTTTTATGTTTTATAATTCCTTCACAACTATATACCATCTCCGTGTTTATCAGTGTCCGTGGTAATGCTGGCTGTAAGTAACAGGCACATTCCATCGTGATTATTTCTTACGTACTGACTGTAAGTATGAGACTCATTCCTACATGAATATTTCTAACATATTCACCTTTGAGTGTTTCACAGAAATGCCCCTCCCTGTTGTGTGGACACCCCAGCGTGCAGTGTCCGTTTCGTTGGTTGCAGGTCATGTTGACACAGTGTGTGCTGCACTGAGAGTTGCACCTATCTCCATACCAGCCTGCGAGGCACCCCGAGGAGCAGCTTCCACTCAACTTGTCACAGTGTACGTCGTCTGTGTCCAGAACACTGGCACATCGCTCTGGGACACTCGTGTTGACATCTTCCTCCATACCACCCCAGAGGACACTCCTCGCCACATACAAGCTGTACTGATAAACAGTAAACATATATGCCAACAATCTGGAGTGAGTGAGTAAGTGAGAGAGTGTTATTTTACGCCTTTATTAGTAATGTCCCAGCAGTAGCACGCGATTCAAACTTTGCACTCATGTAAACACAAGTTTAGCGTGCCTAGAACACGCTTGAATCAACCAGGATACCCCACTGTCCCCTGACTGTTGCTCAAGAGATGGGAAGATGATTTGTTTTGCATCACTTCCATGTACTTATGTCAAATGACGTCACGTTGAAAACCCTCAAACATGGACGATACTCCTGTCCACCGTCAATACTGCAAGCTAAAGGACCAATATAAAGTTGTTATTCCTACGTCTCGGTTATATCTTCTGTAAGGAGTAAATTTCAGACACTATTTTACTCACCACATCTCAGCAGAATAATGCAGAGGGTCAACATTGCTGAGTGGGACTGCCTTCCCCTTATTGTCTGAAGATACATCAGTCTGTGTATGAAAGTGAAGTGATCAAAACGACTCGGAGAAATCTGCACCTGGAAACAGATATGTGACATAACGTGTATGCCTCGAGTGCGGTGAGAAGCTATGCCATCTACACAGATATTGGAACGATTTAACACATGCGCCCTGTGTGGTGTTGATTCAGAAAACGGATTTTACCACACACAAATGTTTGACAATGATTATATTTAAGGGGTTGACAAAGTACCAGCACGCTCTGTCATAGACCACACATACAATGCACATGGACAGGGAATGATTGACTTTCTTGTGGCCGTACCGGCAAAATTTACTTCCACGTACATGTCAACTCGTGGTAAGTCTGTTATTATCTATGTGTTTGTGCCTCATGCGCAGTTACCTCTATGTACATGTTTTTCTGATATGTAAAAGACAATAATTATTTGCAGTACCCGACGCAATACCTGATCATTCTATATTAGAATGGGTAGCAGATGTACCTGGAGTCTCTGGCACCGAGGATGGCAGGGGGACACAACCTGCAGGGGGTGAGCATATACGGAGCGGGTGACTTACGACTGGACGGAGACTCCGAGGCTGTTGTGGCTACCAAACAACGTATTAAACACAGTCTCTATACACAACATGATATTAACTAGGCCTACGATGAATTTGTTTCTCTTGTCACTAAAACCCTTGTTATTCGAGCTAAGCTGAGAAAGACTGCAGGTATTGATTCAATCTCATCTTAAGGAATCAAGAATAATGTATGTATTGACATTCTTCATGTTTTGATCAAACAGTTGGCTACGTCCACGAGGCTTAGAACAAGGCATTATCAACCCCATTGTAAAACCCAGCACGACTGATTTCAGACAACCCTTAATCTACAGAGGCATCTATCGGTCTCTTGCAAAGTGTATTGTAACATTCTGAGTAACAGTTTGACAAGATTCATCGAGGACAACTACTTATTAGTTGAGGAACACAAACCCTATACGCCATCAACATTGATGACTTGGCCCGCAGTGTACGGAATATCAAAAGTGGTGTTGATGTGAATTGAGAAAATATTAGTATTCTTCTTGATGCAGATGACATTGTGTTACTTGCACCAACGGAAGAGCAGTTACAGTCTATGCTGGATGAGGTTCATAAGTGGTGCCTCAATTGGAGATTGGAGTAAAATGGTGAAAAGTCTAAAATCGTTCATTTTAGACCCCGATGACGAATTTGCTACTGCTTCAAGTTTGCTTGTGGCAATAATTCATTGCATTGCACGGAGTCCAACAAGTACCTCGCCCTATCGTATGATGAACATTTGGTCTTTAAAACAGCTGTGAATCAACTAGAGAAATCGGCTGGCTGAGCTCTGCGTGCTCTCTGCACGGAGGTTTCTGATGCAGGTGGCATGGTGTACGATGCATTACTATAACAGATTTGCTCACATAATGAGCGGGTATTTGGGGGATTTGCGTACACAGAGTTCTCAATGCTGTTCAGAATCGAGTCTGTCGCTTTTTCCTTGGAGCCAGTAGTAAATCGACTAATATCGGCAGCAGAGGTGATATGGGCTGGTCCTCGTGTGTTACCAAAATACGTCTTGAAGTATTCAGATTGTGGATGAGCGTACGTCACATGCCAGAGTCCAGACTCACGCATAATATTGCAAAAGTGGTCTCTCGACCGGAAGAGAACCTGGGAACACAGAGTTAAAAAACTAAGTGAATCTTTAGGTTTGGAACAATACCTACAGTTAGACAAATCTATAATTCCAGTTATACGCTGAATAGTTTGGATAAACAGAAATGTTTTACTGATTTGTGGAGCGATAAAAGTAAGGTAAGAAATTGAAATAAGCTGAGGACCTATCGCCTGTTTAAGAAGGATTTACGCTCTGAACCTTATGTGACCAACACGATGTCAAATCCTTTATAAGACTGAGAGCCTGCAGTCTCCCCCTGTGCATGGAGACTGGTAGATTCTCTAATCTGCCTACCCCACTCCATGACAGAGTCTGCCCACTCTGTCCGCTGGATTTCATGGACGAAGCCACTTCGCCATCACGTGCCCACTCTACTCGGATATCATGTACGACGTTTTAAAATTTGCTCTGAATATGGATGATACTTTTATGCAGAAAAAACTCAAAAGAAAAATATGTGTTTAATGCAAAATCCCCAGTGTCATGGTGCAAAGAAGAACTTCATTTTTTGTTATCATAATATTTAATGTGTTTATTCATGTTAAGTATGGTGTGTATGGAAAGTATACAACGTGTAACAAAGCGCAAGCTGAGTGAGTGTGCTGTACTTAGTGTATTGCATGTATATATATATATATATATAAATATATATATATATATATATATATATATATATATATGGGTCATTTTCAAAATTGGTAGAATTTTCTTTTTTAAAAATCTGTGAGTTTTAAAGGATTTTTATGTTCTAGAAAACATATTTAGATGTTTACTAGTCAGTAAATGAGGTATATCATTAGTCTTGTCTTTTTAAAATTTATACTTAACCACATTTTTGGGTCAAATTTGGCAGATTTGCTCCGTCCGGAAGTGACGGTCCTAATATCAATGTTCACAAATAATGTAAATATATATGCAAATAAACAAATTAATTCATATTATGCCAATTAGGATTGATGAAGCACACTCAGAATGCATTTATTTATTTTTTAACTTAAAAAGTTTTTTTCTACAAATTGTAACATGCTTGTCCTGTGATTCTGTGTCCTGACTGTTACCAGTGTATGAAATTCCTGCAATAATATCTCCCTGGAGCTGGATTGTAATACTGCTTCCTGTGTCTGTTTGAGCTAGCCCCTGTGGATATGACAGCAGATGAAATAAAGAGATTCAATACATTTTGAAGAAAATTGACCCGTCAAATAAGTATAAATGTTATGTGTCAACCTTAATTGTCCAGACCGTTACCAATGTATTTTGTGTCAAATATGTATCTCTTTTTTTTAAAATTTCAATGGATATGGTGCCCAGAAATGGAAGAGGTGGAAGGCATGTCCTTTGACATTTTTTAGGAATCATTCATTTTTTTATTTAAGATTTACCTACAAATTGTCTTGACCGTTACTGTCCAAACCGTTACCATTCTGCAAAGTAACGGTTTGGACAGTCCTTGTAACGGTCAGGACAAAATGATTTCCATTTCAAAAAGTTATTCATTAATATTTGAAGTAGAACAACTATATAATTTCTTTAAGAGTTAAGATAGTTTAAGCATGGACTTGTACTGTTCAAAGGAGTTTTGATGTAGTAGCATAAAAAACACAGTCTCTAGTAACGGTTTGGACAAATAATAGTAACGGTCTGGACATATCTTTAATAAATTTCAATTTTGAAGAATATGTTCTATGGTGTGATGATAAACTTCTATTTACTTATCTACTTGCTTTTAATAATAAAAACCAAAACGAATTTATCACGTTAAGTTTCTATTTTCTATAAGATATATAGTCTTTATGAATTAAAGGTAACGGTTAGGACAAAATGTAGTAACGGTAAACAACTTTATTGTATTCCTACCTTTAATGATTGTTTTGCTGTAGTCTGTTTTGACTTTTTGAGATATGTAAGACTACCTTTTACTTAGAATATTGATAGGTGCTAATATGTTGGCCTTTGTAATTGATGAATATGTGTTACCATCACACTATTAACAAAAGTTAAACATATATCCAAGTGAATGAAAGAAGTATATTTCGTGGAGACTAATATTGCACCATAATATCAACAGCAAAATGATATGTATGCAGTGGTCTGTGTAGCATGATCATGTGTACAGTATCATTGTTATTGCAGCACCTTTCAGAATTTAATCTTTTTTAACTTTTTAGAGGGATGACATTTGTCTGTTACACTGATGTCCTGACCGTTACCAATAATGTCACAACCGTTACTATTCATTCAATTTTCGTTCCCCAATTGCACTCTTCTTTGGATTATAAGTGGTTTTCAATCTAGACAGGTATGTTTTTCTATTCTTTAGAAGGTACAGTTTGTTTTTATTCAAAAGCCTAAATTCATTTACAAGTTTTATATTGATATAACAAATGACTAAACCGTTACCACAGCATGGAAGAAAACATTACATATTAGTTACGAGTTACAATTCTATTACACATTTCACTGTCTGTCTAAAATAGGGTTAGCAGTTCAAGTAAATGATATCATTTCTTTCCCTTCATGTTACCTGTTTCTATGTTGAATTAAATTGTTTAAGGTTTATGTCCAGCCCGTTACCATTCCTGTCCAAACCGTTACCACTATTGTCATAAGCGTTACTGGTGTTAATTGACTGCTCTAATTAATTCATGATAATACATGAAACACTCCTCTTTATGCTGGTGTCATCAAAAGATGTTCTGGGCTTAGTAGCAAATGTTTATTTTAGACAATTCCACCCGTTGAAAGCTATATACATAATAATGTTTTAGAAAAATGCTATCATTTTGTAGTAAATAAATGAAAGATACAAAATAACACTTTCAAGATTCATGATGATAATTTTTACCTTCAATTTTGATTTAGTCTGTGTAAAAACTGTGTCTGCCATCTTTAAAAGATTTTTATGAATTATAGTTCAAAATCCATATTCTGACTAAGAAGTGGTAACGGTCAGGACAGCCCCCCACCCTTGTAATTACTTATGTATCAATTAAAGGGTCAATTAGTACATTTCAGTCTGCATGGTTGTATTTTTGAATAATTAAGTGTTTGAGGTTGAATTTTTGTTTTATTTGAATAAAAATTAAATCAATTTTGAGGAGTTTGATTTTACTGTAATAAAGAATTGAAAATCCTACCAATTTTGAAAATGACCCATATATATATATATGTATGTTTCTGTGTGTTTTGTTTGTGTTATTTTAATAGTATGTAGCGTTTTCATGTATGTATGCATGTTTGCATGCATGTGAATGTTTGGATATATATATATATGTATATATATATATGTATGTATGTAGGTGCTGTCTCTTTCTCCCTCCCTCTCTCTCTCTCTCCCTCTCTCTCTCTCTCATTTCCGGTTCACAAGGGCACTAGACAAATATATTAGTCACACATTTGTATAATCCGGTTGTTCATAAATTATGTGGCAATTTAGTATTGTTATATTATGTTCGTTGAGATATTCAGACATTTGAAATATCTGTCACTATAGGCAACTTCATTATACTGGAATAACATCTGAACTCTAAGTGCATGTTTACCATCACTTGACTTACCTGTGGTATTTATTATTTTAATGTCTATTATTAGATACATTGTATATTATGAATTATCGAAAGTAAGAATTCTGTAACAATTAAAACAGTGCACTAGATAGTCAAGCAGCATTGAGTTGGCGGGAACCTTAAATAACAGCATAACCATATAAGGCTGACAACCGTGATTCAAATAATATGCGTTGAGGTGTGTGTGTGGTGTAGACGGAGAGACGGTGAAGTAGAATACATACCTGAGAGTGATGTTGTACGTGATACCTGTCTGCCCGTATGGCTGATCTGTCTTCTGTCTACAAAAAAGCAGACATCATACAGTAGGACACCATGTTTACTTTCACAATGACACACATCCAGACTAATGACGAAGTGTTGTTACCTAATGTCCCAGCCGATACGACGCTGTACGACCTGACGTGTTTATTTATAGCTCTCTACTCGCTCTGTATGTGCAGCTGGCGACGATATGCAAGTCAAGGGAGTGTCATGAACAAAACCTGTGCATGTTGTGTACTGCCACACAGCTCGTAACGTGATGGACAGGCTGAGCGGTTAGCGGTTCATGCTACAGGCGACAGAGTACTGGCACCGTGGTATAGAATACTTGTAATGCTGTCTGTTTAGAAGCTGCTGGATAGGACTTACTGAAGGCAAGCACGAACATGCCGGCCAAGCAGCCAAAGCGGCACTAAAATCCCCAGAAGTTAACTTAAACATACCCTTATCTTAAAACGAAATACAATGCCTATCAAAATAATAAATACTTCCAAAAGTGGCAAAGTAACTACCAAAATTCATATTCTAAACTAAAACATATACTCCAAAAGCTACAAAAAGACTAAAACGTCCTATATATCCAACAATATTGACAGAGCGATAACCAAATTATAAACAGGTCACACAAATTTAAATTCCCATCTGTAAAAAAAACAGTAAACAGACAAACGGGCACACGGGAAGCAAACAGACACGCCCGAACACACCCTGCTACACTGCATACAACACCAAGAACACAGAATGGTGCTCCAGAGTTCAGTGGACATTTCCACACACCTAACACAACAGACAGTTCTAAGACCACTAAATAACACCCAAACCGTCAAAGCCTGAGGCATGTCTCTTATCACAACTGGCCTTTTAGATCGCTTGTAATCCCACATAGACAACTAGTGCTAACATAAGACAAATATCCCCCTACAACTTCTGGCAAATATCATCATCATCATCATCATGTTACATTCCTGCTCGACAACGACCAAGACGAAATACAAGAAGCTGTTATCCATAAAGTTTGTTCAATATTGAATATTTAAAGTCACATCTTAGTGTTTCATCCACATCGTGACTATAACAAGGTTTACTTTACTAATAAAATCTACAACCTTTACATAACAAGCGATTATTTATCTATTGTGTAAGCCAAACATATCACCATTAATAATAATACAGGGATATACATCAGCAGTCAATAAGTTTGGCTTACTCTCTAAAGATTCGGCTATAGGAGCCCTGCCCATTTACACAATGTACGTGAACGAGATTACTACACTAGCGGGCAAAAGAAAGTATAGGTTTTTCAAATTCTTATGAAGTGAGCGTTTTTTGAGAAAACCAAATGTGAGTTGTTATAGACATGGCTGCATACGTTCCAAAAGTATTGTACATATCACAGACACGCCTCTTGTGGTGCTGGAGGTCTAAAACGCGGAAACAGTGTGAATCGTGGTTAAGTTCAATTCCATGAAATGCACGTACAGAAATGTGGTTTTAATGGGGTTGCCGAATGCTGCAGTATCACAGCAAGTGAAAACACAGTACAGGAATGCCACGACTGACCCACGAAGAAAGAGAGAGCCATTGAAATGGCCGAAATGGGAGCTACCCAAGCTCATATTGCCCAAACGTTCCGCTGCACACCATTGACAGTGTCCAGGCTTTTACAACGGTATAGGCAGACTGGTCGGACCAAAGACAGACCCAGGAGTGGAAGACGATGTGTCACAACGCCGCAAGAAGACAGCTACATCCGGACGATTCACCTGCGCAACCGTTTTATGACAGAAACGGCAACAACGGAAACGGCACTGGGTCATGGTATCAGTCGACGTACAGTGTCGAGAAGATTGCTTGCAGCAGGAATTCGGAGCATACTCGCCCTTCCGTGGCATGGCCTTGACCCCTCACCATCGGCGTAATCGACTGCAGTGGGCACGACAAGTTTACAGGTGGCAAATACGGAATTGGCGACGAGTCCTATTCACAGACGAAAGCCGATTCAGCCTGTACCGTAATGATGGCAGACAGCGTGTGTAACGACGTCGTGGTGAACGTTTATGCATCCAAGAAGTTCATCCTTAAGTTGGTGGGGGTGTGATGGTATGGGGCGGTATCTGTGGTGACGGAAAAACCTCCAATGGTGCTGATAAATGGACATCTGAATGCACATCAGTACATTCAACAGGTTCTGCAGCCCGTTGTCTTGCCATTCTTGCAAACTCAGCCACAGGGTGTCATATTCCAGCATGATAACGCGAGGCCCCACACAACAAAAGCAACAATCAACGTCTTGCAGCAAAACAACGTTCATGTTCTGCCGTGGCCTGCCCGTTCTCCGAATATGAATCCCATTGAGCACTTATGGGATCACTTGAACTGGCAAATCAGGCGCCGCATACCCATTCCACATGACCGTCAAGAGCTGGGACGTGCGCTCAGAGAGGAATGGAACCGCATACCTGTTGACGTCATTCGACTTTTGACCGCGTCGATGAGGAGACGTGTCCGGGCCTGTGTTGACGTGGCAGGAGGTCACACACGTTATTAACAATAGTAGAGCTTTATGGTCGTGCACCGTGTTACCAACAGTGACCATAGAGTAAAAATGAATTCATCAATCCGTTACGTTTCATTCAAAGTTATGACTGATGTTGAAACAATCCAATGGTGTTTCTTTGTGTTGATTATTGTCTTTTTATGACTGGATAAAATCACCTTCACTTCACCAATATATCGGCTTTCGTTTGTCTTTTAGTGATACTGAAAGAGGACCTATACTTTCTTTTGCCCGCTAGTTCAGTTGTCAGATTTTCAGTTTTGTGGAAGCCACGTTGGCTGAGTGGGTTAGATCGCTAACTTTTAGTCCTGACGATTTTGTTCACAAAGTTACAAATTACAACTTTAAAAAAACCTGTCCAAGGATATTTATGATAACATTTTTAGCAGAAGCAATCATTGGAAACAGACCTAGAGGAAAATTGGAAATGATATCATACTAACGGTGTATAGAATAAAAGCGACAAAACTCTTCCCACATCCCCAAGAAACCTCTGCTAAATGCAGAGTCGATTGTTCAATTGAGGTTATATCATGTGCAGATATTTGTTCCAGGAGTGTTACTGTACGATGTTGTTTGTAAACAAATCGAGTCTGGACCAGATAATCCCTTGTTTGTCGCCATGCGATACGATGACAGGGCATGTGTTTATGAATCACTATGAAACGTATCGTGCTCCACCGGTGGCAACCGTTATAAACGGTGTATTCGCAGAGTTGCCCCTCTGTCTGTGGGGACCAGTGTGGGACAACTTATAAGTTGTCAAAACAAAGCGTTAATCTGCTACTGTGAGTAAATGGGCATGGAACCACACCAGAACCTGTATGAAATGACCCTACTCTTCAAAGAAGAACGCTCAAACAAACATATCTTCTCCAAGGTGGACATCAACAGGCTTAACACGTCGACGTGTTACAGGAGTGAACAATCAGATTTACCAGCTTGGACCAGCATACATGATGTGCGAGAGGGACATGGCTTCCCATTTGTTAGCTTGTGGATCAAGTGGCAATGTGTATTGACACGTGATATGTGACTTGTGATATGACTTGATATGTATGTGTAAAGCCGTGGACATGAATAATGTAAATGTATTGTAAAACAGTCTTTGGTTTGTTGTGTTGCTTTTTCATCATGGTATTCAGAACTGTTTCAAAGCATCATGAGTCCGTAATTAGTCCAACACTGTTGGTAATTAAGCTGATTGGATTAAGAGAAGCCAGTGTGGGAACACTTAAGTGTTCAGGGGCCACTGTGGGAAGGGCCGCTGTGGGAAGGGCCGCTGTGGGAAGGGCCACTGTGGGAAGGGCCGCTGTGGGAAGGGCCGCTGTGGGAAGGGCCGCTGTGGGAAGGGCCACTGTGGGAAGGGCCACTGTGGGAAGGGCCGCTGTGGGAAGGGCCGCTGTGGGAAGGGCCGCTGTGGGAAGGGCCACTGTGGGAAGGGCCGCTGTGGGAAGGGCCACTGTCAAGCAATAGTCAAGTCTAGAAAGGACAAGAGATCCTACGGATTGAGCTAATGATTCTGAGATGGTGGTGGCAGACCTTACGTAGATGGTTAATGTGGGCATCAAGTGAGAGATTAGAGTCTATGTACACACCAAGGTCCTTGGCAACAGAGCAAGGTTGAAGGACAGAGGATGCCACCTTGACACCAGAGACTGAAACTCCCTGCAGGTGCCTATGGCTGCCGGCTATCAACAGTTCAGTCTTACTGTCATGGAGCTTCAGCATTCTAGACGTCATCCATCTCTTTATGTCAGACACACAGTCATCCACAATCTGAATGTCTGTCAGAAGTGAGCTCCGTTTCAAGATGGTAGTGAGCTGGGTGTCATCTGCATATCCATAGTGGCTGCAACCATGCTTGCTGATAACTGCTGGTAGTGAGTTCGCATAAAGCAGGAACAGAATCGGTCCAAGGACCGACCCTTGAGGAACTCCATAGGTTAACTCAAGTTTTGATGAAGTAACACCCTTAACTGACACTTCTTGGCTCCGACTACTCAGATATAACTGGAACCATCTCAAAGCAATTCCTCTCACTCCAAACTGCAAATCTAGGATTTCTAATAGCTGTTCGTGATCTACAGTGTCAAACGCTGCACTCAAATCGATCAACACAAGGGCAGCCAAATTCCCGGAGTCCAGAATATTTCTCAAGTCATTTATCAATCTTAGGAGAAGGGTTTCTGTGGAATGATGTGGACGATATGCCGACTGGAATCTATTGAGTAGGTCATGTGATGAGAGGTGTTTCATCAGCCTCTTTGCTACAGCCTTTTCAATGAGTTTCGACAGAAATGATAAAAAATTCGGCACAGGTCGGTAGCTTTTCAGTTCTGAACTATCCAATTTGTTGTTCTTAATCAGAGGCTTGATTATTGCATTTTTCAAAAATTGAGAAAATGTGCCAGTTGAAATACTTGAGTTTATGATATCTGTGACGACAGGAAGTAGACAATCTAAATGATCCACAACAAGCCGCGTTGGCATAGGGTCAGAGGCACAAGTGGTCTTATCGGATTCCATGATAAGGGATCTCACATCAGATGAAGAAAAGGGTTGAAAATCAAGGAGAGTCGATCCTTGGAACACAGGTTGTCGGTCTTGCAGCTGATCGGTGACACGACAGGACAGACGTCCTCTGATATCCAGGATCTTGTCTTTAAAGAACTCATTACACGACTCGGCGAGAGTAACAGGATCTAATATATCTGGAAGTATATCTTCACCTTTTTTGCCCAGAATAGAATTCAGAACTTTTTGAAGTTCACGTGGTTTGCCTTGGAGACTGGAGATTTTCTGTCTGTAGAATTCTTTCTTACTCTGCTCTATCGTCTTTGAGACCTTATTGCGAAGTGACTGATATATCTGACGATGTACAACTAATTTAGCTTTTCTCCACTTCCTCACTTCTGAATGACCTGTGTTTAGCCCTACTCTGTACAGATCGTATCTTAATCTGCTAGCTCTATGACGTATTAGCGCATGAGTGACCTGTGTTTAGCCCTACTCTGTACAGATCGTATCTTAATCTGCTAGCTCTATGACGTATTAGCGCATGAGTGACCTGTGGTTAGCCCTACTCTGTACAGATCGTATCTTAATCTGCTAGCGCTATGACGTATTAGCGTATGAGTGACCTGTGGTTAGCCCTACTCTGTACAGATCGTATCTTAATCTGCTAGCTCTATGACCTATTAGCGTATGAGTGACCTGTGGTTAGCCCTACTCTGTACAGATCGTATCTTAATCTGCTAGCTCTATGACGTATTAGCGTATGAGTGACCTGTGGTTAGCCCTACTCTGTACAGATCGTATCTTAATCTGCTAGCTCTATGACGTATTAGCGTATGGAGTGTTATAAGGTTCCTGAGTTATAGGATATTTTTATGTTCAATATGAATGTTGATAGAGAAGTACAAATTGTTACTTCTGTAGATACATTGCTCCGCAATCTAGAACGACTCGTGAGAAACTTTAATTCTTGTTTTTGGCCAGCAGATATTGCCGGAATTTCTTAAATTATAATTCGTCTTAGAGCCCACGCACTGAGGAATTATTTCTTTTAGGTAGATTGGACTTTTGTGGTTTTGAATATTATAGACACAGATAATTTTCTCTGGTTGATCATATGTGAATGTATTTGTGTGATGTATTTCGTCGAATGGCTACCAGTCCACTTCAAGGTGGGTTCGGCGGAATAGCATGTTGTTTATAACGTTGGCTCATCATACCGAAGGCCTGGGTTTGTTACACCCACTGAGACACTCCAATGTAACCATGCTGGGACATGCTGAAACAATGTGTATCATTGTCATACAACACAACATTACAGGCAGTGATAATTCATCTCTTTATTAATATACAACTGTTTTTTGTCATTATTTGACAAGACCAACAAAAAAAACAAAACCATTACAAGTCACAACCAGTAATGCAGTTGAGCTAGTTACATGCTTAAAGAATGACCACACCCTCTGGTAGTGTGACGGTGTGTCTCGGTAGTGTCATTGTGTTGGTCGGTAGAGTCATGATGTATGTAGGTAGTGTGATTGTTTGTGTCGGTGTGTGTCGGTAGTATCACGATCTGTGTCAGTAGTGTAATGGTATGTGTCAGTAGTGCCATGGTGTGTGTCGATAGTGTCATGATGTGTGTCGGTATTGCCATGGTGTGTGTCGATGGTGTCATGGTATGTGTCGGTAGTGTCATGGTATGTGTCGGTAGTGTCATGGTATGTGTCGGTATTGTCATGATGTGTGTCGGTAGTCTCATGGTGTGTGTCGGTAGTGTCATGGTGTGTGTCGGAAGTGTCAAAGTGTGGGTCGGTAGTATCATGGTGCGTGTTAGTAGTGTCATGGTATGTATCAGTAGGGTCATGTTGTGTGTCGGTAGAGTCATGCCGTCTGTCGGTAGTGTCATGGTATGTGTCGGTAGTGTAATGGTATGTGTCGGTAGTGTCATGGTATGTGTCGGTAGTGTAATGGTATGTGTCGGTAGTGTCATGGTGTGTGTCGATGGTGTCATGGTGTGTGTCGGTAGTGTCATGGTATGTGTCGATATTGTAATGGTATGTGTCGGTAGTGTCATGGTGTGTGTCGGTAGTGTCATGGTATGTGTCGGTAGTGTCATTGTATGTGTCGGTAGTCATGGTATGTGTCGGTAGTGTCATGGTATGTATCAGTAGAGTCATGGTATGTGTCAGTAGATGCCATGGTGTGTGCGTCGATAGTCATGATGTGTGTCGGTATCCATGGTAGTGTGTCGATGGTGTCATGGTATGTGTCGGTAGTGTCATGGTATGTGTCGGTAGTGTCATGGATATGTCGGTAGTGTCATGATGTGTGTCGGTAGTCTCATGGTGTGTGTCGGTAGTGTCATGGTGTGTGTCGATGGTGTCATGGTATGTGTCGGTATTGTCATGGTATGTGTCGGTATTGTCATGGTATGTGTCGGTAGTGTCATGGTATGTATCAGTAGGGTCATGTTGTGTGTCGGTAGAGTCATGCCGTCTGTCGGTAGTGTCATGGTATGTGTCGGTAGTGTAATGGTATGTGTCGGTAGTGTCATGGTATGTGTCGGTAGTGTAATGGTATGTGTCGGTAGTGTCATGGTGTGTGTCGATGGTGTCATGGTGTGTGTCGGTAGTGTCATGGTGTGTGTCGATGGTGTCATGGTATGTGTCGGTATTGTCATGGTATGTGTCGGTATTGTCATGGTATGTGTCGGTAGTGTCATGGTATGTGTCGGTAGTGTCATGGTGTGTGTCGGTAGTGTCATGGTATGTGTCGGTATTGTAATGGTGTGTCGGTAGTGTCATGGTATGTGTCGGTAGTGTCATGGTGTGTGTCGATGGTGTCATGGTATGTGTCAGTAGTGTCATGGTATGTGTCGGTAGTGTCATGGTGTGTGTCGGTCGTGTCATGGTATGTGTCGGTAGTGTCATGGTGTGTGTCGATGGTGTCATGGTATGTGTCAGTAGTGTCATGGTATGTGTCGGTAGTGTCATGGTGTGTGTCGGTAGTGTCATGGTATGTGTCGATATTGTAATGGTATGTGTCGGTAGTGTCATGGTGTGTGTCGGTAGTGTCATGGTATGTGTCGGTAGTGTCATTGTGTGTGTCGGTAGTGTCATGGTATGTGTCGGTAGTGTCATGGTATGTGTCAGTAGTGTAATGGTATGTGTCAGTAGTGCCATGGTGTGTGTCGATAGTGTCATGATGTGTGTCGGTATTGCCATGGTGTGTGTCGATGGTGTCATGGTATGTGTCGGTAGTGTCATGGTATGTGTCGGTAGTGTCATGGATATGTCGGTAGTGTCATGATGTGTGTCGGTAGTCTCATGGTGTGTGTCGGTAGTGTCATGGTGTGTGTCGGAAGTGTCAAAGTGTGGGTCGGTAGTATCATGGTGCGTGTTAGTAGTGTCATGGTATGTATCAGTAGGGTCATGTTGTGTGTCGATATTGTAATGGTGTGTCAATCGGGTCATGGTGTGTGTCGGTAGTGTCATGATGTGTATTTGGTAGTCATGGTGTGTCGGTAGTGTCATGGTGTATGTTGGTAGCGTCATGGTGTGTGTCGGTAGTGTCATGGTGTGTGTCGGTAGTGTCATGGTATGTGTCGGTAGTGTCATGGTGTGTGTCGGTAGTGTAATGGTATGTGTCGGTAGTGTCATGGTATGTGTCGGTAGTGTCATGGTATGTGTCGGTAGTGTAATGGTATGTGTCGGTAGTGTCATGCTGGTGTCGGTAGTGTCATGGTATGTGTCGATATTGTAATGGTGTGTCAATCGGGTCATGATGTGTGTCGGTAGTGTCATGGTGTGTGTCGATAGTGTCATGATGTGTATTGTCATGGTGTGTCGGTATTGTCATGTTGTATGTTGGTAGTGTCATGGTGTGTGTCGGTAGTGTCATGGTATGTGTCGGTAGTGTCATGGTGTGTGTCGATGGTGTCAATGTGTGTGTTGGTAGTGTCATGGTATGTGTCGGTAGTGTCATGGTCATGGTGTGTGTCTGTAGTGTCATGGCGTGTGGTGGTAGTGTCATGGTGTGTGTCGTCATGGAGTATGTCGGTAGTGTCATGGTGTGTGTCGGTAGTGTGATGGTGTGTGTCGTCATATTGTGTCGGTAGTGTAATGGTGTGTGGTGGTAGTGTCATGGTGTGTGTCGTCATGGTGTATGTCGGTAGTGTCATGGTGTGTGTCGGTAGTGTGATGGTGTGTGTCGTCATATTGTGTCGGTAGTGTAATGGTGTTTGTCGGTAACATCATGGTGTGTGTCGGTAGTGTCATGGTGTTTGTCGGTAACATCATGGTGTGTGTCGGTAGTGTCATGGTGTGTGTCGTCATAGTGTGTCGGTAGTGTAATGGTGTGTGGTGGTAGTGTCATGGTGTGAGTTGTCATGGTGTATGTCGGTAGTGTCATGGTGTGAGTTGTCATGGTGTATGTCGGTAGTGTCATGGTGTGTGTCGGTAGTGTGATGGTGTGTGTCGTCATATTGTGTCGGTAGTGTAATGGTGTTTGTCGGTAACATCATGGTGTGTGTCGGTAGTGTCATGGTGTTTGTCGGTAACATCATGGTGTGTGTCGGTAGTGTCATGGTGTGTGTCGTCATAGTGTGTCGGTAGTGTAATGGTGTGTGGTGGTAGTGTCATGGTGTGAGTTGTCATGGTGTATGTCGGTAGTGTCATGGTGTGAGTTGTCATGGTGTATGTCGGTAGTGTCATGGTGTGTGTCGGTAGTGTGATGGTGTGTGTCGTCATATTGTGTCGGTAGTGTAATGGTGTTTGTCGGTAACATCATGGTGTATTGTCGGTAGTGTCATGCGGTGTTTGGTCGGTAACATCATGGTGTGTGTCGGTAGTGTCATGGTGTGTGTCGTCATAGTGTGTCGGTAGTGTAATGGTGTGTGGTGGTAGTGTCATGGTGTGTGTCGTCATAGTGTGTCGGTAGTGTCATGGTGTGTGTCGTCATAGTGTGTCGGTAGTGTCATGGTGTGTGTTGTCATGGTGTGTCGGTCGGTAGTGTCATGGTGCGTCATAGTGTGTCAGGTAGTGTCATGGTGTGCGTCGGTAGTGTCATGGTGTGTCATGGTGGTAGTGTCATGGTGTGTGGCCGTCATAGTGTGTCGGTCGAGTAGTGTCATGGTGTGTGTCGTCATAGTGTGTCGGTAGTGTCATGGTGTGTGTTGTCATGGTGTGTCGGTAGTGTCATGGTGTGTGTTGTCATGGTGTGTCGGTAGTGTAATGGTGTGTGGTGGTGTCTCGGTAGTGTCATGGTGTGTGTTGTCATGGTGTGTCGGTAGTGTCATGGTGTGTGTTGTCATAGTGTGTCGGTAGTGTAATGGTGTGTGGTGGTAGTGTCATGGTGTGTGTCGTCATAGTGTGTCGGTAGTGTCATGGTGTGTGTGGTCATAGTGTGTCGGTAGTGTCATGGTGTGTGTTGTCATGGTGTATGTCGGTGTGTGTCATGGTGTGTGTCATAGTGTCGGTGTGTCATGGTGTGTGTTGTCATGGTGTGTCGGTAGTGTCATGGTGTGTGTTGTCATGGTGTGTGTCGGTAGTGTCATGGTGTGTGTCGTCATAGTGTGTCGGTAGTGTCATGGTGTGTGTTGTCATGGTGTGTCGGTAGTGTCATGGTGTGTGTTGTCATGGTGTGTCGGTAGTGTCATGGTGTGGGTTGTCATGGTGTGTGGTGGTAGTGTCATGGTGTGTGTCGGTAGTGTCATGGTGTGTGTCGTCATAGTGTGTCGGTAGTGTCATGGTGTGTGTTGTCATGGTGTGTCGGTAGTGTCATGGTGTGTGTTGTCATGGTGTGTGGTGGTAGTGTCATGGTGTGAGTTGTCATGGTGTGGTGGTAGTGTCATGGTGTATGTCGGTAGTGTCATGGTGTGTCGGTAGTGTCATGGCGTGTGTCGGTAGTGTCATGGTGTGTGTTGTCATGGTGTGTGTCGGTAGTGTCATGATGTGGGGCGGTTCAGCTTCAGTTTCCAGGCTTACTCGACCCCCTTCTAGAGGAACACTATTACTGGACCACTCTCGCCCTCTTCAACATCACAGTAATCATGTGTAGAGTTTCTGTGTTCATCTTGGCGTATTTGGACACCGTCTCTGTTGGTGTCTGTCGTATCTCTAAAACAGATTGAATGCATAGTTTATCACAATAACTACATTTTGCACATTGACGTCGACGCCTTCAGTTGAGCAGATGTAATGAAGAGCACGTGTCAGCAGATACACATGCTACTAGAGACCGTAGTTTCTGGAAAGGATCGTTTTGGAGGTGGAGCCGTTATGATCTGGGATGGGTTGACAACAGCTAGGACGCCAATGATTGTATTAGACGAAAACCTGAATGTTGTGAGGTTCGGAGACCAAATTTTGCAAATGGCTGCTTTACCGTTTTTGCAACTGAACGGCCCTTGATTGACGTTTCATCACGATGGCGCCTGACCACACGATGGAGTCGTGTAGCAGTACAGTGTCAAGGTCAAGTCTTAATCAAAACATGGTCAACCTTGGCCCCCAAGATACCCTGATTTATCACCCACGGATAAAATGGAGCGACGTTTACGACACCATCCGAATCCACCAAAAGTGCTGCAGGAAACTCCGCCAAATCTGTCCTCGGAAATGGAATGATGTTCCCCGAAAGTCACATAAACGCTTAGTGTAGTCAGTCAGGCCAAGGTGCTAGGCCTGTATCGGTGCACAAGGTGGACACACTCGCTACTGGGAAGGTATGTCGCTTCATAGACCTCAACGTTTGAGGTTAGATTGTGCATGCTCATTCTTGGGAGATTTTGAGTCCGTTTCACCAGGTTTATAACATCCGGAGTGTTAGTACAAATATTGTAAATGTTTGGAGGACAGTCACAAACGTAAAGCATCAAGGACAACATAATGTCAAGTGTCATCTCGTATGTCCCCTGACAGTAGTATGCCATGTCACCCTGGGGTCCTTTTCAAGATGGCGGCACATCCGGTCCCCTTGGGCGCCGCCATCTTGGATCCGGTCACTTCCGGTCAGGGGGAGATCACTCGGGTTCCGGTTCCGGCGTGTGCGTACGCATCGCGATGACGTCACGACCGGTTCCGGCGTGTGCGCGCGCATGACGATGACGTCACCTCCGGGCCAAGATGGCGGACGCGTTTCAAGAGGGCGGGCCCATCCGGTGGGATCGCGTGAGATCTCGCGGGATCTCGTGGAGTCTCGCGGGATCTCGCGAGCGTAGACGCCTTTCAAGATGGCGGAACGGGCGAGCGGCGGACGGGACGGGACGGGACGGAGAGGGAAGGGAAGGGAGAGGAAAGGAGAGGGAAGGAGGGAGAGGGGGTGAGGCGGACACGATGGCGTGGCTAGGCAAGTGTTAGTGTGTGTGTGTGTGGTTAAAAAACATTGGATGTAGCATTCTTTCGAGCCAGGTGGGTGGCCCTGAAAAGGGCCGTTGGTATGTGAATCAGTCAGCCAGGTTAGCATTCACAGAGGAGCTGGAGACCCCGAAAAATAAATTTTCCGGGGCACACATCATCGTGTTGTTGCTGCCCTCTCTTGACATATGTAGAAGTCTGCTCCTGGCACGACATCAAAGCGATTTGAAGGATACGCTTTAAAACAGGTAGGACAAATAATCAGTTGCCATTTGGATGACCATTTGGGTAATGTTTTCGCTGCCATTGCTGGTGGTGGTGGCGCTACCGTGTCTCCTGCTGCCGTTGTTGTTGGGGGTGGTGGTGGTGGGACTGCCGCTGCTTCTGTTGCCATAGGTGGTGGTGGTGGTGGGACTGCCGCTGCTTCTGTTGCCATAGGTGGTGGTGGTGGTGGTGAGGCTGCCGTTGTTGCTGCCTCTTCCATTTTGATGTCAGCCTTCCCTTGTAAAGTAGGGCTGCACCGCAAACATAGCCGTCTACCACAGTTTTTCCGGTAAGGCGCCGGTCGCATGACTTCCACTTTTCTTGTGTCCATGTTGCATGAAGATAGCCCTCACTGATCCATGCTGGAGTTTATATATGGGCGACGAGACAGCGATGACGTGTCGTCGATGACGTGGTATCGATGACGTGGTATCGATGACGTCATGATCGCGCGTGAGGGTAATGACGTGGCACCGGTGACGTCATGATCGTGAGGTGGTGGCACCCCCATGGTCTTCGATTGGCTGAGCTCTCACTATATAGGATGAGAGGGGGTGGCGGAAGCAGTGTTACAATCAGCAATCATGTCTGGAGAAAACTGGGATCTGGAACTCATGTCGTTGGAGACACCATCACCAACCCCCTTACCGGCATGGCAGTGTCAGCAATGTTATGGTTGTTTACCTGTCTACGCCAATGGCTCCATTGAGTACAATGGTACCTTTCAATGTGTCTACTGTGGCACTGTCTTGAAGGACACATACATCAGGCGTTTAACTCATGGGAGCAAGTGCCCCGTAAAAACAAAGATGGCCATTCATCCCTGTCAATGTAGGTGCCAGCTCTGGTCCCTTGAGTGAGGTACACTCTAAAAAAACGGCCCTTTTCAGGGCCATCCATCTCTCCCAAAAGAAAGGTTCGTTTCAATGCCAACAACAATAATAACAACACTAGGTTGACTTTTTTCAAACGTTTTATTTCCCCCCGCTAACAAGAACACTTTGACAAAAGAGACAGGATTAGGGGCGTCCCTGATCTTTTGTTTACAAACGGTATGAACTGTAACATCATAACTGTAACATCATAACTGTAACATCAGAACTGTAACATCAGAACATCAGAACGATAAGGTTGTGTCCTTTGGCAGGGGTGTGGATCATGGTCAGCGTTGTTGTTGTCTGTCAGGCGTGTGGGTTGAAACCAACGTCTTACACGTTCTTCATTGACGAGGATATCGTAGGGATCAAACTGTTCCATCACTTCGTCAAAAGACCATCCACGGGCACGATGAGCCAGTACATACAAACAGTACATCCCACAAGAGGCACTGAACCAGGGTTGAAGTGACTGGCCATTCCACTGTTGTTGGAGCCATCCGGCGAAGGTCATGACATTCCGAAAGTCTGGATGCTGTTGATAGGGATGGAGTCCATAACTGTCAAAGTAGTCCATGGCACCTGGTACTGGGCGATACACGCACACCCAGTGTTGTCCTGGGAGATGGCTGGGGTCCGTATTGACAATGTAGGCTTTAGGATAA